GAGCTGCGGTTTGCCTGGTGGCCTTTGCCACTTGATCCCCTGGCCGGAGGGGTGCAAGGCATCATGTGATGGATACCAAGCTGAATGGTGGTAAAGCGCTGATCCCTCACACCCAGCCCTCAGCGACTGGCCAGGTACACAGCACCCAGTCCCAGGCAGTCTCAGCTGGACTCTAACTCAGTTGGGACTTGGCCCTTCTTGAAGCCTCACCTCGATGGAAGCCAGCGATGCCCTGATCAGCGACCACTCCCGCTGCCCGCCGGGAGGGCCTTGCTTGTAAAGCCAGGTCCTAAAAAAGCAAAGCGTAAATTAGGATGGTGTTGGCTTCACCTGGCAGTCACCAACCTCCTTGGGCACAAGCTGCTCAGTTAAAGACTAACTGAGGCTGCTCTCGGGAGAGTCGAACCTCTCAAGGCCCCCGCCGCCCTGATCTTTTCCATACTTGCATGTTTAATACTTAACTTCAAGACACTTTCCTTAATACAAGCAAAGCACAAAACCCAGCCAACCTTGCCCTGGCTTCTTCATGAAATCACCCATTTCAGTTTCTGCCACTAGCTGGCACCATTGCACACCATTTCGCCTGCCGCGCGACAGCGCTGAAGTGAGCAGGAGTGTCATGGGGCAGGGGAGCCGCTCCGGCCACGACGCAGGGGCTAGGCTGGGCTCTGCTCCGGCTGCTCAGCCGTGTTTGCCAGGAAAACCCAGGAGCCATTTCAAGCAAGAAAATGCCCTCCCACACCGTGCCACCGATGAAGACATACGGTGCGGTGATGCCGGGCTCAGGCTGCGGAGTGCAGTAGGATGTGTGGCGCTGGTCAGAGCCGGGGCCAAGCGTCGTGGTGCTGCGGGGAGGTTTCTAACGGAGAAGGGGAGCGGCTGGCAGAGTGGAGGAGTGCATTTGCCTCCTGGGGTGTGGAGCCCCGATGCAGACTCAGGACTGCAACGTGGCCCTGTCTCGCAGCAACAGCCGCTGCTGGCCTCACCGTGGGCAGTGGGACCGGCCCCTGCTCAGGGCATCACAAGCCCAACCTGAGTTGGGTGTGAATCAAGGCCTTCTGCCTGGGAAAGCTTATGCCAAGCCAGTCGCTGAGGCCTGGGTGTGAGGGCTCACTGCTTTACCGCCGCTCAGCTTGGTAGCCCTGATGCAAGGAAGGCTCTGGGGTTTGCTGGAGGAACGCTGAGCCCCTATGGCTACCTAACCACACAGCAAAGCTCACCAGGGAAATGGCAGCTGTGTGGCCCTGCACTCAGTACAGCGGCTGCTCCAATTTTGGAGAGGCCTTGGGGCTGGGATGCCAGCTCCGGCTGCCCAATGTCGGACATGAAAGGCTTGGATCCAACTAAAGGACAGGGTTAGGGCTCATGGGGTGCCCAAGAGGCCCCTCTGTCCCCGAGGAAGCGAGCATGGCAGCCTGGGCATAGCAGAGCAGAGCGTGGCCCCAGCGTTCCCAGCACAGCCTCCGCTCCTGCCACCCGCAAGCTTTGGGGACGCACTGTCCACAAGACTTGGCTGTCCATACCGGTCAGGCTCCGAATCATTCCTCCTTTCTTCCGAGCATGCTACAGCCTTGCAGAGACCCGTTCAGACCCCCGCTCCGGCCAACATCTCCCCACATGCTAATCAATGCTCCAGTGTTGTCCCTGCTCTCACCTGCTCCCTGCACCCTTGCCCAGCCCAGCTCCCAAGTCCTCGTCCCAGCACACAAGTCCCTGTTTCACTGGAGCTCGCAGCGGCTGTGGGGGGGCTCCGGTCCCTCCAGTCCCCCTCAGGGCCCAATTCTGCAGCCCTCCTCCAAGCCAACACCCCTGGAGACAATGAAGTTCCCAGGCCAGACGCTGTCTGCAGCTCAGGCCCTTGTTCGCCTCTCCGCAGGGCTGCCTGCCTGACCCTCCAGAAAGCGCCCCCCCCGGGTCTCCTGCGGGAAGGGTGCTGAGATGGAGCCGTGCTCTCGTGCATCCCTGGCAGCTCCTTAGCGAAACTTCCCGAGCCCACTAGGTCTCTTTCAGCCTCTTCGGCGTGCCTCAAGACCTGTCACACAGCATTGCTGCTCAAAGTCAGCGCGGGCCTCGACGTGCCAGCTGGCATTAGCATGACGGCTGCAGCCCTGCCTGCTCCCACATCGCTGCCCTAGCAGGTGGAGGCGCGTGGAGCTTTTCTGGGCTGTGTTTGCAGCCCTGCAGGGCCAGGGCCCCCTACTCATCAAGGTCCAAGCAAGCTGCTCTCTCCAGACTTGGGGAACCGCAGTCCCTGCCCTGCCCCGTACCCAGACCCAGCCACCAACAGCAACAGGTGACCAGCACCCCTTGCTCAGCAAGGTCACCGCAGAAGGACAGCAGACCCTGCTGCTGCAGCCTCGGGCCGGCACGGCCCTGCCCGCTTTCCCTGCCCATGGCAAGGAGAAGGGGCTGCTTTTGGCTCACATATGAAGTAGCCTCCAGATGCTCCTCACCCTGCCACACAGGGGACAAAGGCTGGCAGATGAACATCCCTTGCCTGGCCCTAGAAGCTCTCCTGTGCATGGCACCCAGTCCCCCCAGCACAGCGGGGCTCTCAGGATAGCGGCGGGGGGCCCCTGACTTCAAAGGAAGTTCGTCTCCACTGTGGAGCAGCTCTGGTGTTGGCCACAGGTGTCGAGACACAAACTGCACACGGGCCCATGACGCCTGCCCCTCCTGGACACTGCTCGGGGCCCCGCTGGCACGAGATGCGGCTGTGCCTGCCCATGCCCGCGCAGCCACGGAGCTGCCCCGCAGAGACAATCCCACAGCCCCGGCGCCCAGCACCCCTTTGCCCCCGCCTGGCTATTAACACACAGCTTTCCTCCAACCCAGGTCAGCACCCCCTGGATTTGCCCAGCGCCATAAAGAGACTGGCCCTCACCAAAACTGAAGTCACAGAGAGGCTTAAATCAAATCATCCCTGACAACAATGACATTAATTATGCTTTTAACACATTTTACGGCTTTTTTTCCCCTCACTTCACGCCACATCTGTGTGAACAATATCAAAGAGATTTACGAGTTTCTTTCGTAATTACAGACATGTAGCCCGCTCACTTATCAAAATACTTGCTGAGCAATCAGCCCGCGTCGCATTCTCTGCCAGGGATTTGTGTTGACAGCAGCCATTCAAAACAAAAATGTTGAATCAGGACTTGTGCGTTGCTTCTAAAGTAGCCTACAAAGAATTTGCCTGTCAAGAAATATATATATATAAAATTACAGGAGCAAAAGCCCGCAGTGAGGTGTTTGTGTGTGTGCGAGTGTGTGAGCGCCGGGCTCTGGAAACAGATCTGACATTTGGTTCTTGTATTGCAGGATAAAATTTAATGAGGACAAAAATATGTCTCCCTAATTCCCCTAAGAAATCATTAAAACATTTTGTTATTCCTAAATGTCTGGAAAATGAATTAGTGCCCCTGTAGGAGCCCTCCTGCACATCTTCAGCAGTTAGAAGCTCTTCATCCTCAGACTTGTTGACAGCGCGGCTGGCTCCTCGCTATGCTGGTACCGGGAGACGCTCCATCCTGTCAGTTGTGGCATCGGGGAGGTTTAGAGCAAAGCGAATGATGGGAGAAGTGGGACTGTCTATTAATGAGATGGCGTTCAATTAAAAGAAGGGGGGGCGATGTCTTCTGCGCTCCCCATGGGCAGCAGAGACAGCGCGGGGCCAGCGGGCCAGGCGCACGTCTCCGAGCGCTGGCATGGGGACGATGGGAGGGCGGGTCCACGGTCCGGGGCAGCCCTGGGCTGGGGCATCGGGCGCATCACAGCTAAGACTGGGGGTGCCGGTGGACCCCAAATGCTGGAGCCACGAGCTGGTCTGAGCCTTACTGACCCAGGCCCAGACTGGCCCACTCCTGCCAGGCCAGCTGGCAGGTCAGCAATAGGACTGGGATCCAAACTGGGCTCCCAAATCCCAGCCCAGCCCCTGGCGGGGTGTCAGAGAACCCGGCTGGCAGCCGAGCCACCCCAGGGCAGCCTTAGCGAGAGTACGACAAACAAGGATGGCTCGCTTGCGTATCAGACGCACCCAACTATGTGCCAAGCGCATCCACGAGGCTCCTACCCTGCTGCGCGTACAGCACAACGCAGACCTGTGCTGGGAAGTGCTGCTGTAGCACCGGGGCTGAGAGCTTATCCTGCCCTCAGGACAAGCTGCTCTTGGGGTGTGTAAACCTGGAGGTCAGCAGTGGCTCAGACACGCACAGCCAGGGGCAGGCAGCGCGAGGGCGAGGGTGCGGGGCATGTACCCATGCATATTTAAAAAAAACAAATAGACATCAGACCTAAACGGCCGCGAATGGAGCTCAGTCGGTTTAGCTAACTCACCATCGGGAAGGCAACTGGGGATAGCCGCAGTGTTATTACAAGGCTCGAGCAAATGTATTCCTTTTCTAATGTCAGGATGCATTTGCCTCATGCGCTGAAACACGGCTATGGCAAAAGCTGTTTCCACTTGTCTATTCGGCTGGTATTTCCAGAGTTACATGCTCAAGCGAGTCCCCACCACCCAGGCCGCCAGGCAGGGAGAACAAACACTGGCGACGGCAGCGCCGTGGCCCAAAGGCATTGCAATGCAACCAGCGCCCGACAACCCGAGATGGACACCAGGGACGACAGAGGGCGGGAGGCGCCGCACACGAGGCTACGCTGACGCCGCAATGCCTGCTAGCGACGGCACCGTGGGAGCTTCTGGGCCTGTCTACGTCACGAGCCGCTGCAGAGCCCCCTCAAGCGAGGCCGGCACGTGCTGGCGGATGGGGCTTGCTGTTGGCACGGACATGTCACCGCTTCCAGTGACAGGCCAAGGTGACAACAGCCGTGCACGCTGTGGTTTGGTTAGCACCGCTTGGGGGGCAGGGGGGATCTTTGCCTACCCGGTGCTGACACAGCTTTGCTGCAGACGCTTTGCGGCGTGGGCCGACCTCTGTCAGATGGTCTAACGCCTGCTCTCCCCATTCATTATTCAGCTAAGCAGCCAGAGCCTGCCTTACCTGGTGCTGCAATTAATTGCTTGTAAACGCTCAGGAAAGCCGTCTCAGCCTCCTTGCTTCTTTTACTGAGTGCAACCACCTGAGGGGAAATAAAAACACGAGGTGAGGAAGCAGGAAATCGGGGGCTTCATGACGAGAGCTCATTTGGGGCCCACCTGCTCTGCAGGGGGAGGCCTGGAGCAGCGCGTTGCATGTGCCAACTTCAGCGAGGGGACTCCAGACTGGCATCAGAGTCGCCGACATCAGGCCGAGCTACGAGATGCAAATAATCCCCGCTGGACTACTCCACGCTTTGTACCATGGCTGGCTCTGCACCTCCAGCCCCTCCACCACAGCCATCCCCACCCTGCCACCCGGAAACAGGGCTGCGGCATGTGCCCCTTGGCTGTACTGCTCGGTACCGCTTCTCATCACAAGTTATGATGTTGGTGGGTGCTTTTCCCTGGCTCTAGGAATTATTTTTCGTAGAGGTCATCACTGACCTTGCCCTCACAACAGAGGAGCACAGTCTGAGCCCCTGCGGGGCACCTGAGGAAGTTTTTCCCATCACGGCTCCAATGGCAGGAGGGAGAAGGGAGCGGGGAAGAAACGGCACCCCAAGTGAAAGAAGACATGACCGGTGAAGCCGGCGTGGAGGCCAGTAAGAGCCTGGCTACGGGCAGCATTTCGCTTCTGCAGTCCGCGCAGTTATACAGAAGCCTAAGGTAGTCTGAGGCCGTACGACGGACATTTTCCTGTTTCTCAAGCCGTCTGGGTCAAATCAGTCGCAGACCCAATAAAACGTCTTGTTTGCATTTCTCCACTTTGTGGTTTTGTTATCGCACGTCATCTCCTAACGCCTTGCGTTGAATCCCCAAAGATGCAGCTGGATTCACACACGCAGACACTCCAACCAGCATCCGGCGTGTCTAGCTGACCGGTGCTGAAAAAGCAGCGATGGCGTATTTACTGCTTGAGGGCCAGAGCGGATATTTCTCGTGGAGATCCTTACACGCACGGTATAAAAGCCCTGGGATAAGGCCTAGTTACTAGAATGAATAATAATGCTGCCGTGTATGCGTGCAGCAGCTTCCTCCAAAGTGCCCAAACAATGAACTAAATCGTCGTCATCCCTGCAATACAGATGAGGCCAGTAGGGAACACGGAGAGGCCCTGGCACTCAAGAGATCGGGCATCAAGCCCTGGTTTGGCTACCCACTTCCAGGGTGGCCAACGCAAATACTGCATCACCTAGCACATGTCCAACGAGTCACAGCTGATTTCTGTGCTGTCCCGCTCCCCGCCCCGCGTGATCAGTGCCCGCTGGCTGTGCATGCTCCGTGATGCCAGGCGGCTCTGAACCCGCTCGGGAACGCACACCTATTCTGTACAAGGCACCAAGACGTTGGCCAGGGACAGGTCACAGCCAGCGACTGTTTGGCAGCAAAGGAGGAGCCTGTCTGCCTTTTAACCCAATGGCCTGGAGATCCACTTGCCCAGACAGCATGAGACCCATGTTACTGGCAACCCCCAGGCCAAGGAGGGTTGACTCCACATCGCATACTTCCAAACAGAGCGCCCTGATGAACGAGCCATGGGGGAGGCTGGGTTCAGGCCACCCGGAGCGCTACAAGGCAGCAGAGAGGGGATGGGGATGGGGATGGGACGGGAACGGCAGAAGAGCCAAAGCCAGAAAGAGCCTGTCTCTGTGCTTGACTGAGGGCACCGTCGTAGAAAGAAGGATGCCCTGGGAGCCGGCCCCGTGCTCGCCAAGCAGCTCCCGTGCAGGCTGGGACTCTGCTGTGACAGCAGCCAGGATTTACCTGGCCGCAGCCCTGTCACCTGTTCTCCTGAAACTCTTCTGCACCCCCAAGACGGGCACGGGGCTGGGCAGTGCCAGCAGGGTCTCGAGGAGGGCGGGAGCTGTGGCATTTAGCAAAGTAACTGTGATGTGCCGGGCGCTGCTGCTCATCCGGCCTCCTTTGCCTTTGGCTAAATTCCTACCACCATTGTCATGTCAGGCCACCATAAATCATTGATGCTCTCTGAGTAAATGAAAATTATAATTTAATGCTGGAGCTTAAATAAGGAATAAGAATTCCTCCTTGTGTCTCAAAGGCCGTTGGCTGGGCTGGGCCCGGCTCGCACTCAGGCAGCCTCAGCTGCAGCCCCTCTGCTGGTGACGGTGGAGTGGGGGGACGGCTGGCCAGGCCCTGCTCCCCCTCCGGCGGGTCTCCCAAACCCGAAGGGCCTCCCATGAGGCTGCCATGGCCAGGAGCGTGCACCCCTTGGGGGCTGCAGAGGTAACGAGGCTCTGGCATGCTGCAGCGCTAATCACAGGACAACATATTAATCCTGCCACAACAGCCCATCCAACATTCATGAGCATGAATCATTCACTCCCGTTAATTTTTCAGCATTCGCCTCCCGATCCCGGTGGCGTCCCCCTCCCGCCCCGCCTGGCGACAGAGCCCTTTGTTCCCCGCCTCGCTGTGCTCCCTGCACCCGCGGCTCGGGGGGTGTCAGGCAGGGACGGTTCCCCGACCATCAACCATCGCCTTCCCGCACTCGGACAGGGTGAGGGGGACGGCTGAGCGCTGGGCCACGTGGCTGATACCTCCTTCCAAAGAGCCTCTCTGTGTGACCGTCTCTCTGAGCAAGTGGATGCATCACCGGTGACACTCACCCAGTCTCAGGCCAGACTGGTCCCTCCGGGCGGCACCAAGACCCAGGGCACGAAGCTGGCCCTAGCGCTGTTTGGGTGCTCAGTGATTCCCCCATGAGACTTACCAGGGGCTCCATCCCCATGCCTCCCATAGACAGCAGTACCGGTACGTAACCCCAGTGCCCTCCGGGGGCGTCGAGGAAGGTGGGCAACCCGACTGCATGCTGTCTGGGGGCAAAGCATAAATCCAGCCCAGAACCGAAGGGGAGGAGCAAACTCCAAAGCAGGGAGGACAATGCCCAGGTGCACAATGCATCGCCCAGGTGCACCCCCACGGTCTGTGCGCGCTAACGAACCAGGGAATCGAGAGGTGCTGCCTCTCGCCCAGTCTCCACGGCTGATGCCCCGCGTGGACTCGGCTCAGCGCTCGGGCCAGCCGCTCCGAGCTACAGCTCCGCACGAACGCTGGAGCCGAGTGGCTTCGGGTCCGCAGAGCTGTGCCAGGCTCAGAGGCTTTGTAAAGCCCTTGGACCAGCCTGCACAACTGTAAAAGAAATTCAATTTATTCCAGGAGAAGGAGAGGATAATGCACACCCCTCCCCCCCGCTGTATTAATTTCTATCTGGGTGGGGGAGGGAACCCTTCTCTCCTGAATCTCCTCCTGAAGCCAGGCTGGTTTCAACAGCGGAGGGGAAAAATAATCTGGACAGACTTTGCAACAAAAGCAGAGCTGGAAATAAGACAATGAGCAATTTGTTCGTGTCAAGGCTTGATTCTCGCCCCGCTGCATCTGAGACCGCGTGTCCCGCTCTGAGCGCCATGCCACACTTGAAGCTGAAACCCAACCGGCCAGCGTTTCGGCCTGGCAGCGGTGCCATTAGCAACGGTGCGATCATCAATTATGCCAATCGCCAGCTCCTGGCTGGATCGTTATGGCAGGAAGTCCTAGCGCCCGGCCCCAGCACCGCGCCGTGGAGGAGAGAGGGTGCTTTGCTCCTGCTCTGTTTCCCCCTCCATCTCCCCTGCTGGAAAAGCTTCCAAGCCTCCACACAAGACTGAATTTAAATTGCTTGTCATTCAAAACAAAAGCAAACCACTCATTTGTAATTCACCAGCCACCTGAGCAAACTGCCTTCTCCCTCCAAGCGCACAGGCACTGGAGCACAAAGATCATTTTTCTATTGTTAAAATTGTATAAGCCGTGGCTTTTTTTAGCATCTAATACACAAACCCACTTTCTCATTCTAGTGCTTCCAGCAGGAAAGAAAATTTGGGGGCTTTCTTCAACGTTTCGCAAATAAATTTGGCTTTGGGGCGTTTAAAAAAACAAAACCACCAAACCACAGAGCGGCAGAGGCCAGGAACACAAGCGGAAAGCAATCAGTGCCGCGTGTGCGCTTTACCGGGATGGAAAAGTTACACTCCGGGATGGGCATTAACTGTGGACAGCTGATGTCAGATGTCCTGATGGAAGAGAGGCCCTGATCTAGCAGGAGGAGGTGCTGCAACGCTCCCGCGCTGGGAGGTAATATCCCCGAGGTGGAGCGGCTGGGCAACCAGGCCTTTTCCATTTCTAGCCTCAACGATGCAGGGAACGCAGACTGGCTCAGGACTTGCTGCTCCACTGCCCGTGCTTTATCAGCCAAGAACGAGGGAGGCAGGCGGCTGCACCTTTGGGACGAGCACCTGCCAGCAGAAAAGGGGCACGGCAGCTCCAGGTCGATGTTGCCATGATTAGCCGCCCAAGTACATAGTAAGGGTCCAAAGAAGTCAATAGAAAAACCAACAGGCAGTGGATTGGGCCCCACTTGGGCCGTGCACCTTTGGAAATCAGGTGGTTGGTTCTCGTGCCCTAAGAGTGTGAAACCGGGATGTTAAGGCCCACGGCAGTCTCACAAAACCATCACCTTGCCTCTGCACCCAACAGCCATCGCAGGCCAAGCCTACATTAGTTCTTGATTAGCATCGGATAAAGGGACTTCTCCATCTATCAGAAAAACCTAGAAAACCTCATCCCTGATGGGATTTGGACAAGAAGGCTTGGCTCCCAAAGCAGTAATTCCAGCACAGGGATTAAACAAGATGCTCCAAAAAGCTGTCACTAGCAATAGCTCAGACATACTCTTGGAGGACCTCTAGCCACCGGGGAGCAAGACCATCGCAATTTGCTGCTAATTAACATGTTCAGGCTGCGCGGCACAAGTTCCTCGCACGAGATGCTCGAGAGGTCACTTCTCAGCACTGCTTCAGCATTGAGTGAGCGATGGCAGCCAGCCCAGCGCTGGAGATGCACCGCTCCGAGCCGCGTTCGCGTGGCCACGTTCCTGGCGGCAACGGGGAAGGACTACGGCTGCGCGCCAGGGCCGGCTATCTGTCTGTGAAGCTGGCTGTGTTGCAAAGCCAGCCTGCCTTCAGCACCTTCACAGTCCTCAGGC